AAAGCACCTACAATAAAGAGGCAACGTTTCTTCAGTAGTCCTCGCCTCTTGGTGACATGGCACGAGAGCCTCCGCCAAGGTGCAAGCTGACACCTTCAGAAAATCAGCTGCTGATTTTTCTTAAATCTCCTTTTTTAATTAGGGGGTGAGGCAGTGATGACAAAGGCCATTTCTCCTCCGGATAGGCAGGAGAAACACATGTTGTATTAGCACATGACGGGATCCCCGTCCTGCCGGTGAAGGGAACCCACCCAGCCCTGGGGAACGGAACATCACGGTGGAGAACTGCTCGGTGAGCACACTGAATTTGAAGCAATTGCTGCCCGAGCGATGCCCATCCTTCCCACGCCCCAGCCCTTCCCTTGCACACCGACTCGCTTCTCGAGCCGAAATCCCCATGACGCTGGGGGGACCCACACCACAGGACAGCGCGAGTGGGACATGGGCGCTGCGTCCCCACGTGCTGCAAGTGACCGGGGAGCAACTTGACACAGATCCCGGCAGAGCCACGGGCCCAGCCACCATCCTGCACCGAGCAGCTTCGGTTGGAAGCACATTGCTCAGCTGGGGGCTCTTTTACTCGAAAGCAACAGAAACGACCCAAAACGCTGTGGTGGTGGACATAAGCCCGTGCTTGCGCTCAGAGCAAGAGCTGCGAGATTTCATCCCGGGCACCTACCCAAAGCCACTTTTATTGTCTTGATCTAATGAAGTGCAGACTTCACCTGGACAGATCCATAAGTGGCTCCTCTCGGAGGCAATGAATACAAATACTTGACCTCATGAGCTGCGGGGCAGCAATTAGTTTAAGCAGGGGGTTTGTGTAACACTTCAAAAGTCTTAATCCGTGCGGTCAGCCCTGGCACGGTATTTGCCAGAACCTATTGAGTAGTCTTAATGAGTCTGCAAAGCAAGCTTTCAATACATTTTGGGTCGCTTCAGATGCTTTAAATGGCATAGTCTATATGGTATTGTGCGGCTTTAGAAAGGCCCGGGCTTTAAAAAAGTATGGCTCCCTTTCACAGGGCAGACAGAAACCATCTTTAGAGCCGGGACCCTTAACGTTTTGCATATCAATATGGCTGGGGCTGAATGCGGTCACTCAGCTGAGAAATAGGATCACTATCAGCGTTTCCAGGCTTTCACAGGCACTTGGGAAACTTTAAAGCTCTTCGTGGAGAATAATTTGGTCGAATGTCGTAGCTGGAAACAAAACCTAAACAAGCAGAGCGCAGTCCATCATGCGGAGCTGCCAGCGAGGCTGACAACAGGCTCCAGCCGCTCCGACATCCAACCCCCAGCGGGTCGGCGGCCGGGGCACTTGCAGTCCCGGGGGGACGCGGCCGGGGGGACCCCGCACTGGGTGCGGGGTGCTGACCTCCTGGCAATGGCCACATGGCTCGGAGGGCTCTGGGATTTTAACCAGCAGAAAACCAGTCCTGATTTCATCTCTTCTTACTATTCTTTTACAATACCCCACTTTCTTAATACCGGCCATAAAGCCCCCAGGCTCTGGCACCACACCGGTGGCATCTGCGTCTGTCCCCGGCACCGCTCACACACGCATGGACCGACACCACGATGTCCTGCTCCCCGTGCAGAAACAGGCAACCGGTTGCATTTAACTCCGACATCACGTTAAGCCCATCACTGCACGTGTCACTTGTCCCAGCAGTGACCAGACAGCCCAGGGGCTGAACAGGCCAAACGTGCTCAACCTCAGCTACAGCCCGGAGCGTCGGTGCAGAAAAGACGTGTCACCTCCAAGGGGCACAAAGGGGGTGCCAGCGGCCGGGACACGGGAGCAGGGAGAGCTGTGTGGGGCAAAGCACGATGTAAAACCACCCCGGAGCTGGGATAAAAGGGACCAGTGCCCGGTGTGCATCCCAGTAGAAGCGATACCTGCCGCCTCCATCGCCCCCGGACAGCAGCAGCGAGGAGGGGAGGCGATGGCACGCCTGGCAGGACGGTCAGCTTTGGGATGGGGCAGGATGGAAGAAACCGCAGCCAAAGCATATTTGCAAACAATGCGGGGCCTGAGGGCCCTTGAAAACACATAATTAGCTCATTAAAGAGACAAATACAAGTCCATAATAAGATATTGGAGGTTAATTAAATGTTTTCCCCATCTTTAATTAAGAGAAAACTAGTTAATTCAGATTAAACAAATTTCTGCAGCCTCCCATGATGGCCCTCTATGGCTGCAGATTTGAAAATCTATTAAGATTATTGAACTGAAAGGTCAGAGTTTGGGTCTTTTGTTTGCTCTGCTTGGGTGAATTCAGGGGAAGCAGGGATTTTCATCCTAAGGGTTAGAAATGCCCTGCTTTATCATCTGGGTTACTCAAAGAACATAAGAAGGTATGTGATACACAACTCCCTCTCCCTAACCCCGGACCTGGCATTTATTCAAAACTACTGCCATTAATTGTTTTTCTTAACTAGGAAATTCCTGCAGACTATTTTCTGTCTGCAAAACATACCCCACGCTTGGGGTCTGCTGCTCGGCCGGCCTCACCCACCGCCCGACGGCAGCCGCTGCCAGTGCTCAGCACCAGAATTTGCTTTAGCAAAAACCCGCTGGCCGCACACCCCAGAGACCAACTGGTTTCCAAAGCTTTTATTGTGGATGGCAGATGGTGCCATCGTCCCCACGCATGCACACGCACCCACCCACGCACTCACACGCTCCCACTCGGTCACAGTTAATATAGATTAGCAAAATTTATATGGAAGAATATTTAATCTGGTCAGGGAGGGGAGGGGGGTCATCTGTGGTTTTATTTCTTAAATATTTCTCTCTACTCCAGAAGGGTCCGTTTCTCGCCAGAAAAGGTCTGATATAAATTAGAACGAAGGGAGCGGGTTGCTGGCGGGGCGGCCACGGGCATCCCTGGACCACGGCAGCCACGAGCATCCCTGGACCGCAGTCCTGGCTCCGCACACTGCTGGGCAGATCAGGTCCCAGCACGGCGGCGTGCCCAGTGGATGGCTCAGTCCCACCCAAAGTCCTGCCCTGTCATCTGATAAAACTTCATGTTGAAGGGTCTGTAAAACTCCCGCAGGCGCTGGACCACCTGCATGTCGATTTTGGGGTGCGGCCGCCCCTTGGATTTCCCCAGGCAGCGGGGCTTGCTGCCGCCCTCCGGCTTCTTCAGGCAGGGAAAGCCCTTGGTCTCATTAAAATAGAAATGTTTGTCCGTCACCACCCTCTTGAGACCCAGAAAGTCCTGGACACGGCCCATCTCCCCGGCCGGGTCGCTGACGAGCCTCTCCCCACTGACGAAGAGGAATTTGGAGAGGGGGAAGTACTGCAGCCAGTTGTCCAGGTGCTTGGCGTAGATCCCGATCCTCACCGCACTCCAGCTCGTGTCGATCAGTCCCGTGCTGATGTTTTTGAAGGCTAAGGCTTGGAAGCTGGGGATGGCGGGGTTTTTGGAAAGCGTCTGCGTGTAGTCTGAGATGGCGCGGGTG